TCGAGTTAATGATACTAAACGGTCTTGACGAAGAACACTATTCAAAAGCAAATGTCTAACTAAATCATAAATAATTGTTTGATACATATATGGTGATATTCTTGATAGTTTTGACATATAATTTAATTTACCAAGTTTTTGCAAATAAAAAATTATATCATGAACGATTTAGAAAGCTAACAAAATTATTTTATCGTATATATGTATTTTTTCTAAATGGACTCGCCCTCGACAAAATCCTGGCTACGCCCCTGCATACTTTAAAAATTGAGATAAAATGGGCAAGAATGGGGCGGGGTGGAAGTAGATACTCATGCCCCGCCCATGCTAGTACGGGTCAATAACCGCCCCTTCGTGGGTCAGGTCGGGTAATACCCGGCGGGGCAGGTTCAAATTGCTATCACTAGTGGCGAAGCTAGGATGAAGTCAGAAGGAGTATAAACTCCATCAATTTTGAAATATAAGTAAAATTACATGTCAAGTTCAGAACAAATTTGTAAAAAAATAGTAGTCATCAAGACTTTAGCCTCCCACTCTCCAATTATCAAGGTTCAAATCAGTCCCTTTCATATTATCGGCTCCGCCACTGGTGGCAAGGCGAGCCTTGTCCGACAAGCGATGGGCCGTCTCAGTAATTGAGATGTTCAAGTCGCAATTTTTACGAAAACATGATATTTTCCTCTTCTTTTTATTGTGTAATGTTACGGTTGTTTTGTATCGCGTTGTTCTCAGTGAACTAAAAAAGAAAATGTTAAAACAAAATAATGACACCCGAAACACAATTCTTCAAAATTTAGAAAGAGTTATCGAGAAAATCAAAACAAACCCAACCCATTAAATAAATTCATCGTACTCATCCAATATATGCTTCATTTCTGGTCGGCTGTTTGGTCGTGGAGTTCAAATCTAGAGTCTAGAGATTAATTAATGCTGGAGTTTTACAGCCTTTTCTCCATTCGAAAAATGCAGCCCTCTCCTTAATTTTCGTCAGGGGTAATTTAGTCCTTTTATTCCATAATTTTTTCCACTTCCCGCCCAAAAACATCAATCCGCTATTGCCAGTTTCTGCCCTCTTGCTTTAAACTTCTGGTAAGCCCATTACAAAAGCTCAACTGACCTGTTACAATAATTATTCGGGCCGCTCTGATTTTAGCCCATTGTGGCATCAGAGGAATCATAAAAAAAAAAAAACTAATGGCTGGTTTTCACCTGCTGTGCATCAGCGGATCGGCCAACCTAGAGAAGCTGCCACCGAGTCTCCAAAACTGGAGAAGACACCCGAACATCATCTGGTCATCCGAGCGACGGCGACAACCCCAAACAGTGGGCACCACCCAGCGGCGGCAGTTACATCGGCGGCGACGATATTGCCTTCCCACCTGTAATAGCATAGACCCAGCTGAATTCATAACCCATACCTACCTTGGTTCCTGATTAGCGCATTGATGCAATTTTTTTTTATAGTTTCAGCGGCTTTGCTTAGTTTTGTTCCTTTGCACAGTGGTTCCTTATTTGCTTCCCACAACCACCCACAGGCCTACGTTCAACATGTTTTTAATATAATGCCTCCTTGCATTTCAATCACCAAACCTAGGTACGTAATTGCATCCTTCTTTTTGGACTTTTGTTCTTTTGGATTGATCTTGATTTCCCTCTACCGCATAAATAAACCTCTTCTCTGTTCAGAACCATACAGTAAGCTTAGTTTCTTCCAAGCAGCTCATGGCAACTGGGATGTCGCCAGGGGAATCATCATCTTCAACAACTCAGCCCACTGTGGCAGTGCCCTGTAATTATCATAGCAGAAACTTTGTCTGAATTCCGATACAATTATGCAACCCTGCTGCCTATTTCTAACCGTTGAAACTTTGCCTCTGAAGGGAAAGGTAGAGCTATTCTACCTCAACACTACGAGACTGAACCACGAGGTTGCGCTGCCGTTGAGAGCATACACAACCGAATTTGACGAGGTCATTATCTTATTTCTCTTTCCATAGTGTACCGATATGTAAGCATCTAAATTAAAGGTTGATAAATTGTTAATGTGAGGCAGAGACTGAAGCTTTGGAAGGACAACTAAAATTCATCACTTCTGAGCTCGGCAAGGCTTATAGGAATAAAAGACGTTCACTGCGTAGTTCCAAACGAGTCAACAGCCAAGGTATGCCCCCCAAATGATGGTAACCAATACGAAAGCACCCTATTATATGTCGTACTGCTTATCTTTCACTTCACTATGTTCATTATTTTCTTGGTTTTCGTAGGTGACGATGACAAATGTAGAAAGCTAGCAGCTGCACGAAATCGACTGTTACGCCGCCTACATCTACATAAAAGGCGTAATGGTCAGAATTTTAGGCGGATTTCTCATATGCAAAGTATGCCGTCTTTATTATCATAACTCACAATTTGTGTCCTACTTCTGTAGTTGCTTATGGGATTTGAGTGTTATAGAGGCATTTCCCATATTCTACAGTTCATCATCTTGCTTATGGAAATCAGAACTCTTATTTTATACATTTTCAGGACTTCCCACTGTTGAAGTGTTCTGTGTTGGCGAACCATTATGTATTTTCCAATTTTGTCAAGCTTCCATGTGGCGTCTTGAGAGCACGGCTTCGACACGAACTGCTGCTACTCCTGTTTTTTCACTGTGCTGCAAACAAGGGAAGGTTAGGCTTCAACCTCGCCCACAACCACCACAGTTCTTAAAGGATCTACTTGAAAGTGATTCTCCTCTTGCAAGACACTTTCGTGAGTATATACGGAACTATAATGCTGTGTTCAGTTTTACTTCGCTTGGGGGGAAAGTTGATCATTCTTTAAATGATGGGCGTGGAGTTGATGAGACCAATGTGGACTCTTCTGTGCAAGAGATGGATGCTGCACAAAATGCTGGGACCAATCCAGGAACTTCTACTACTAACTCCAAAAGGAAGTTTGGCGCTCTGAGTGATGTGGAGGATAACTAATACTGTTGGTTTTGTCAACTGTTGGGGAGTTGTTTTAGTTTAGTGATGGGGAGTAGAATTAACAGTGTTGGTTTTGTGAATTGTTGGGGAGTTGTTTCAGTTTTTACTTAGTCCTAGACAATTACTGTTTGTTTTCCTCTATTAGCTACAATGGTCACTTTGACCCAATTGCTTTTAATTTTTCTTGAGAACTACTTTATTTCTATTATTGGATTTTATTCCTGGGAATGCTACAACCTACTTTGGTAGCTTCCTTAGTTTACATCTCTACCATTACCTTTGTTTTTGGGACCATTCTTATTATGTACAAGTTGTTCTTTTCCCACTTTGTTGCGTCCTAAATTACTTTAGGGAAATACAAGTGATTGTGTTTGACATTTGTAAAAATTGTACCTAGATTCAAACGTAGCTACTGAAGGGTTTTATCTGGATGAGCAATCCATGCATGAGCTTGAGTATGTTAAGAGTGACTGATCAGTATAAATAAATTTTTATTGAGTATTGGACAAGTTCAATGTATTTGTAATACTTTCTTAACATATCAGCTTTTTACCACTTATCACACAATTTGAAAGTTCTTGAAGAAGCAATTTCTACTATCTTGGTCAATATTGACCTTCATTACAACCATGCACGTAAGACTATGCATCTTCTAAGTTACAATCATGTAAGCAAGACTATAAATTTTTTAAGTTTTGACAACGTGCATTTGATTTAGATTGAAAATATTTGTACAACTATGAATTTTCCGGCCAACGGGCCGGGCCCAAGCTAGTATAAAATATGATAGACGTTGTCATCCCGCGTGTCAACACGAGAGGCCATTTAACTATTAAGAAAACACGTTGAGGGTTGGTGAGGCTTGGGTTGAAGGAGATGTGGGGGGAAAAAAACCATTGACAATCACAGCCTTTCGTCGTGGGTCATGTGCTTTCATGATTTCACCAACAACTACCCACTACGACTACTACGTACTACTTTGTTGGTTTATTGGATCGGAAAGAGTTGAAAGGAGGGTAGGTAGGTGAATGGAATCAACAAAGCCGACGGCAAACCATTTTGTCGATTCTCTTTTTTCAAGCCGTAAAAGGATTCATTTGCCAACAAAAAGACATACAAAGTCTGACAAAGCTTCTCGGATGCGGTTGGTGGATCTCTCCACCAATGATGTGTGTACGAGCTTCAGAGAGTTGATGTAAGAAGATTGATTACGACTTAGAACACTGAAGTTATTCTGAGATTTATATGCGCGGTTTCGGGGCGATTGATATAGAATTGAGAGGGTGTGGAAATGTGTTTAGCTTTAAACTACCGTCTGACATTCTTAAATTCTTTACCTTAACGACGTGATTGGAAACGGTTTCGTGAAGTAGGAGATCGATAGAGAGTTGAGATTGTCGGAGTTGTTCATTTCTGTCTGTTTTGAACGTTTGCTATGAGTGACAATCAAGTTGGTGTGGTGTCGGTATCAGTGTGTTAGGAAATTTGTGGCCGTAGATTTGGCTCAATACGATATAACAAACTGATTTTTTTTTTTTTTTGTATAGGTGGGCTGGTCTCAAACTATAGTTCAACCACTTCTCGTCTTCACCTTAACCACATGATTGTACACCGACACAGGAAGTATGATTGATCAATCCCGCCGATGAGATGAACTTAGATTTGAACACATCTAATCCAGGATTATTCTACTATCCCTATCCTTGTAGGAAAGTTAGGAATCAGTGTGAGGTGATGAATCCAGTTGAAACTTCTGTTACTGGATTTAGCTTCTAATTAGATGGTTAAACAAATTAAAAGCTCCAACAATGGTGGTGGAACAAACCTAGCTTTCCTTTTGGTCCCAAATCAAGTTAAAAAATTTATCTTCGACAATAAAAAATGGCTGCGTTTAGAGGAGTCATATATGTTCAATTTTAGTAGAAGATCATCATTGATCAAAGCACAAATGAAAGACCCACTAGACCTCTTCGATGAACTATGCTTTTCATTGTCTTGATCTCCTAACCCTTCATTGGAGAGTGACCATTTTCTCACGGTTTCAAAAACATAAATGAGCACTTCAGCATACTTTACAAAGTTTAGTGGCAATTCCGCAATATGGATCAAAAGTTCAGTGGCCATTTTGCCATTGAGCTCACCAAAAGCCCTAACCCAAAACATAAAACATACATCTATCCTTCCTTCCTCAAGTGGAAATGGCCAAAAACCAAGCATCACTTTCCAAACGTTGATGCAGTTTGCATTATTTGACTTGCAGAGCAGGGTTTTTTTTTATTGGTTAAACGACAGACGTCGAGCGTCTAATTCATATTAATAATAGCTCTTTCATGGGAGATTCTCATTACATCATGGTTGATCCATCTAACCAAGTCCCTATCACACACATTGAAATGATGTGTGCCAAAATCAAAATCATGAGCCTTGTTGGCCAAGTAATCAGCCGCGTAGTTCGCTTCTTTATATACATGGGACACTCTAACCTCCCATTGTCGATCCAAAATAAAGCTCAAGTGCCTGGCAATTGAACCATGGCGATGCACATCTTCATTCCTGTGTTTAATGATGTTAATGGCAGTGGTTGAGTCGCTGTGAAGAACGATCTTCCTGTAGCCTACCTTCCACGCAATCCTCAAACCCTCCAAGCTTCCTCGCAGCTCAGCAGCAGTGATTGAGCATCGTCCAAGATTACACACATAGGCTCCCAAACATCTACCTAGGTGATCCCTGAACAAACCTCCTGCTGCTGCTCTCCCACTCTGAGCATGAAAGGAACCATCAGATTGGAGTTGAATCCATCCTTCCTCTGGCGGTTTCCATCCAACATCGCAGGGGATTCTCTTCTTTGGAACAAAACCTGCTGTCTTCTGCTGGTTGGCATGAGCTTGATTCACTATATTGAACCATGCTTTGATTTTAGCTGTGACACTCTCTTTCAGAAAGGCACGCCCTTCCATCACCTCATCATTTCTTTGCTTCCAAAGTTGCCAACAAATGATCCCAAACTCTGTGGCAGTATCTTCACATTTGATGTTAAGTATCAGCCAATCAGTGAAGTTCAGGTTTCTGCTCATGGTAGACTCCTTGTTCTGAAACGTTTCCCAAATGTTCTTGGCTTTTTTGCACTTCCTGAGAATGTGCTCAATTGTTTCTTCTTCTTCATTGCAGTGGCTGCACAAGTTGCAAGTTGTCAGCTTCCTTTTCTCCCTCTCTTTGTTAGTGAGGAGGCGTTCATGGGTTGCCAGCCAAAGGAAGTGTTTAATCCTGCTTGGCCCTCTCCACTTCCAAACAGCTTTCCATTTTCCATTATCCTCCAGTTTCATGTCTCCTGGAAATCGAAATAAAGAAACATGAATGATATGAATTAGAGAACTTGGGTCATAATGTTACATCACAAACTTCATAAAACTGGAAAATGGTTTAAGTTATAAGAAGAAAAAAAGAACAAAATTCTGAGTAGCTGTAATTAGCTGATGAAGTAGGGCTCCATTTACCTCTGTAAAGAACTTCACTGCTGGTGGGTGATCACACAACCGATCATATAACCCATGGAGGCCATTTGGAGATTCATCATCATCATCATCATCTTTTTCTTCTTCGCCATCTTCATTCGTCACTACTCTGTCGTCGTAAACTGGAATAACCAGACAATTCTTGACCAAGTCGGGCAGCTCGTGCGTGTACCAGCAGCGAAAGAAGAATTCAACGGTAGAAGAGCCGCCCGCATTTTCCCCAACGACGAGTGTTTGATCAGTAGACCATACTAAGAAGTGACCATTCAAGAGACGCTCATCTTTCTGATCATCATATTTTCGGAAAGGTTTCCAAACGTATTCGCCCACAACTTCTTCAGCCCCAGCATTGTCTCTATCGTCGAGCATCATGCAAAGAACATGGAAATTGGTGTCCTTATTACTAAGAAGGGGATCAGGGGAGTTGAGCAGCACACAGAAAACTATCGACTTCAACTTCCATGGATGTCCACGCAACTTTGCTGTCACTGTTGTGTTGTTATTAGTATTACCATTATTAGGTCCCTTTTTGTTTCCTTCTTCACCACCACCACTTTCACTCCCCCATTTTGCAGGGAGTAACAGGCTTGACCGGTAAGAGCATCGAATAGAATCCTGTGTGAACTGCATCAATGATACAACACAAAAGAGAAGTAGCAATTATGACCACTATGCTCCTAGTACAGCAATGAGAGAGAGAGAGAGAGAGAGAGAGAGAGAGAGAGAGAGAGAGAGAGAGAGAGAGAGAGGGAGGGAGAGAGCTACCTTATCTACAATCTTATTGCATACTACTGGATCCAACTTCCAGCACTGGCCAAAGCACCAATCTATATCTGAGAAGTCATGTTTCTCGACAGTGCCAATTGACAGGGTTTGAAGTGACTTGCAACCACGAGCATCCAATTTTTTCAAGGATGAAGGAAGCTCTGGCAAATGCCTTAGTTGATCACAACCAACCAGATTGAGTTCACTCAATCTCGTTAGTTTGTGGATGGTGAAAGGGAGGCATGCTAGGCTCTTACAATCTTCGAGGAGCAATTCAGATAGTCGAATCAGATCTACAATGGAGGATGGCAGCTCTTTGAAAGTTGTGCAACTTAGATTAAGAGATTCCAAATGCATCAGATTACCAATGCTGTCAGGAAGGCGTGCTAGACTCTTGCAACCACTGAGGCTCAACTTAGGCAATCCTGCGGGACATTCCAGATTTGTTGGATTAACAAAGCTGTCGGGAAGGCTGAACAGCTTGCTACAACCATCCAGGTTGATATGTCCCAGAGATTTCAACTTAGAGAAGTCACCAGAGATGAGAATAAGTTGCTCGTTTTTCGAAAGGTCGAGGTACTTCAATTCTGTCAACTTCTCCAAAACCACCTCTTCGATCAAACTACCAGTCAAGGTTAAGCCCTTCAGGCTTGGGATGACTGGAAATTCAGTCAACTTAGAGCAGCCACTGCATCGGAGTTCCAAAATACGCATTTTGGTGATGAAACTTGGAAACTTCTGGATTGGTATGTAGCTTAGATCCAACATTCTCAGGCTGGGTAAAATGCCATAATGACAAGTACTTTGTTCGCGGTTGCTGGTTTGATAGTCTTCCAAGTTCTCGAACTTTAGGCTGATGCAATTCGACAAGTTGAGGGACTCCAACTTGGGGAGACCCAAAATTGAGGAGGGGAGCTCCACTAAGCTCTCACATGAAGAAAGGTCAACCTTTTTAAGCTTTTTAGCCCTGGAGAGATCAGGCAACTTTCTTAGCCTTTTTGATCCCGTGAGATTAAGGAATTTCAAATTCCCCAAACCCTGCAAGATGTGTATGTGCACAGTACAATGAGGAAAGTGTACGGAATTTTAAAAGAAGCTCTAGATTATTGAATTAGGAAATACGTACCGCATTAAGTTGTTCATCACTTTCCCAAAGTTGTTCAATCTGGCTAAATGGCAGATTAAGTTTGATAAGATTTTCAGCAGAAAATTGAGAAGGCAAACACTTAGAAGCAAACGAATGCCAGTCAAGAATTCTCAACGCGTTTGGTAGATATTGTAACCCATCCTTTGGAGTAACTAGACTGCTAGCGCACTCACGAATCACGAGGAATCGGAGTTTCTTCATCTTCATGAAAGTGTCGGGTTGCAAGTGCAAGTCATGTTCATCCTTCTTAAAAAAAGAGTGCAAGCCATGTACCTTGTATCCGATTTGGTCAACCTCCAAGAAGATACCTTCGGTGGATTCAGTCCCCTGTGTTGTGTAGTGAAAACAAAAACAAACAGGTCCATAAAAATTTATTTTTCAAATTCAGTGCCTAACCTTCAAGTGATAAATTAATTACTATCACTAATAAAAAGTCAAGTTAATAGGAAATTTGTTTGCAAAAAAAAAAACTATAAAGAAAAATAAGTAATGCAGTAAAATTTAGTCCTTAGACAATAACAAAAAGTAAGACTTCATACCTTGTTTTCGCGAAATAGATAATAAATATCTTGAGATTTCCACAACCTCGAACGTTTTTCAATTTGTCGTTCTTCATTGACAATGCTGCGAGCAAGGACTTCTAGCAGACGATTAACTTCTATTAGCCCATTGGAATCGGTGATTATAAGAGACTTATCGACAAGGTTAGCGATGAGGTTCACTCTCCCACCTTCTAAACCCATTAATTCCGCAATGTGGTCTAGCCAGCAATATATCCAATATTGAAAACAGCATGCAAGATCAAGGAATATATCCTTTTCTTCTCGACTCAATCCATCGTAACTCTTTCGCAATACATTCTGAACCACTGAGTTCGGATTATCTTCCAACGCGCCTAACTCACGATCCCAAAACTTGAGGTCCCGACCAAATAAGTGTGCACCCAACACGGTAGTTGCTAATGGATTTCCACTGACATAGTTCACTGCTCTCCCAATCATCTGCAAATATTCAGTTTGGACATTTTGCTGTCTGAAGGCATGCAAGCGGAAAAGTCGAGACCCTTCTTCATAGTCCAGACCCTTGGCTTCATATACACGATCACAAACACTCTTAAGAAGTTGTTTGTTCCTGCTCGTCATGATGATCACACTGCCCGGGCCGAATAAATTGCAATACTGTCCATTTAACAGATCCTTCAGCGGGCCAATGTTGCCAACATCGTCGCCCACATCGTCAATCACAACCAAGGCCTTCATACAACCAAGGCGGCGAAGCATCAAATCATAGGATACTCTTCCACCACCTGCTCTGCCATTCTCATCACCCAACAGCTTTGAAAAGAAGTCATTTTGCAAATTACCAAATGGCAATACAGACAGCCCGCGAGCCATCGTGTAAGCAAAATTGCTGAAGAAGTATGAAGCTTCGAATCGAGAGGAGAATAGGTCGAAGAAAGCCTTAGCAAGAGTAGTCTTCCCAATGCCAGCCATTCCCGACAGTCCAATCGTCCAATTACTCCTCTCGTCAGAGCACAACAAGGCTTGTAATTGTTCTATCTGCCTTTCCACTCCAACCAAACCTCTGCTAGCCGAATATGATGAAAAATTTACCATCTGGCTGCTGCTGCGTATTGCCTGGAATACAGCTTTGACGATTTCCTCGACTAGTTTAGTTTCAGGTCTGGTGGAGATCCGCAGTTGAGATTTTTCAAATTCATTCCACAAGAGAGCAACAAATACATATGCAATAAGGGTTATGACAGAGAAGCCATCAATTGTTGGGTAAGAGGTGGGTGTAATTTACCTGATGAACTGAGAATCGAATCCGGAGAGGTTGGCTATTTCACTCAATGCAGCTCTCCAGCTTCGAATTCTCCCAGCAGTGGAAGAGGGCAATTTCTGGTTTTCGACCGCAGAAGGATCGACGCCGTAGAAAACCGGTATAACCCTCCGTCCGTGCAGCTTCATACACTGGAGAATCTTCTCGAGCTCCTCCAAGCACCATGGGGAATCAGTGTATTTGGGGGAGAGAATCACAATGTAGACGTCGGATCTCTGGACCGCCAGCAAGAGCGACGGCGAGATCTGCTCCCCTCTCTCCAGATCCACATCGTCTTTGTAGACCGCCAATTTCCGCAGATCTTTCAGGTGATAGTAGAGGTGGCTGAGGAAGGAGTTCCGGACATCGGCTCCTCTAAAGCTGATGAAGACGTCGTATTTGCTTAATCCGGAACCAGAATCGCTGCTGCTGCTGCTGTTTCTGTTGAAAGGAATCGAATAGGAGGAGGAAAAAGGAGGAGGGCGGATGAATTTGTCGCGAAGCCAGTTGCAGAGCTTGGTCAGAAGCTCATTAGTATTGATGAGCAGTTTCTTCTGCCTCTTGCTTGGTCGGCTCAGAGTCAGAGCAAATTGTTCTGCTTCGTCGCCGTCGTCGTCTCGGTCGCCGCGACGGCGATCCATCTCCCTCTTGTCGCCTAGCTTTCCCATCACCGGAATGTAAAGAAAGTGTGAAGTAAAGGAAGGAGGAAGCTGAGTGGTGGCAAGCATCCCAGCTCAGCTTCACTTGGGGGAGAAAGAAGAGAAGAGTTCTTTTTTATTTTTTTTGGTCAACGGACAAGCCCATTATATTATATTATATATGACTACAATCCGAATAAGTCAACCAAATTCAACGGACCAGCCCGTAGAGCCATATCTGGGCCCAAATCTTTCCCACTTCTATTCCGTGCAAATCGAACCCAAACCATTAAGCAAACTATACTAGGGATGGCAACAAAACCCAAACCTATGAGTACACTATCCGATTCAATTAAGTCAATGTGGGTAAAATTCGTGTTGAGGGTTTCATATCGGATTCGGGTTTAAATCTGTTAACTATTCACCGGGTTGTGTTAGGTTTGTATTTCGGAATACCCGACTCATGGATACCAATCCATACTGATTCTGTCACCTTACTCTCCCCAAACCAGCAAGATATTGTTCCCTTTTCCAAAAAGAAGTGTGAGAGATAAATTAATTATTGAAGTCGAACACATCAAGTTTGTTGATTTGCTGCTCTCTCACAAATAAAAAGAGAATGAAAGAAAAACAAAGAATTATGTGCTTTTATTTAGTGTAATTGTGATTTGTTTGAATTTTCTAGATTGGTGTTTTATATATAAATAATTTATATGGGGAAATTGAGTTTTGACTTTTATTTTTATAGGAACTTGTTATTGCAAAATATTTTACCACAAAAATTCATGGGTACCCATGAACCTGCGAATACCCAGCGGGTTGGGCACGATCTTGCTAACACCAATTTGTAATTTCCTATTTTCTTGGGTTTCAAATAATTTCTAATGTAAATATGATTTATTAGCCAAATAGTTTTTTCATTTCATAAAATATTAGCCCAGCCTTTGAAATACATAATAATAGCCAGTTGTTAAGTCTCTGTTAATATTTTCGTTAAATGATGGTGAGCTCGTGGATGTGGTGCTGAGGTGAAATAAATAATATGACATGGCCGTCAACAAAAAAGTCACATCATCCTTGTCAACAAGAATAATTTTTTTATTTCTTTATTTTCTTAATTCATTGCCTATATTAAAAAATATATATGTTGACTCTAGATGGAGATCATGGTTGATCAAGCACAATTTGAGGTGGCAAATGATTGATGGACTGGATCATGGATTTAGGGAACGTCTAAACATTGAATCAATATGTACAATTTGAAATGTTGAGGTACTAAAATTTTAGTTATCAAACGATATTTTCTTTGTTAAAAAATAGATTTTAGATATTGGATTATAATATATAAACTATAGATCATAAACGGTAATTTTCTAACAATCCAATAATTGATCAATCCAATTGGATTAGGATCAAGTAAATTGGAATCAAATGGATTGGATAATTAGATATTTAAGTGAGTAGATTGAAACACAAATAAAAGAACTATGAGCTATGCTTTTCATAAACAAATAAAAGCTATGCTTTTCATTGTCTTTGGGCTAGTTTGGTCCTGCTGTAGTTTTTGCAGAAACAACTTCTGGCTGGATCTTAAGAGAAGTACTTTTCAAAAAAAACAGTTGAGTGTTCGGCTAAAAAACTATTAGAAGTGTTTTTTAACATGAGAGGTAGTGTAAAATGACTATAAATGATTTATAATATAAATTATGAATAACAATTTTAAACAATAAAATGTAGTCAAAATAGATTTTGTTAGATTTATTTTATATTAAGTAATATGATTTTATAATTTCTTTTATTTTAAAATGATATAAATGAAAGAAAAATATATTTTTTTAAATAAAATTAAAATATGGTAAGCATAATCTTGTATTTTCAAAACAACATTTGGAGCTTATGCTTTTATGTTATACAAATACGCTTTCGACTTTTCAAAAACCGAACTTTTAGAGGTGTTTGGTCTTGCTTCAACTTTTGAAACCGAAAAACACTTTTAAAAATCGGGTCTATTCTTTATTTTCTCACCTTCATTGGAGATCAATTTGGAAGACACCCACGATGCAGAGGATACGTGCTTTCCTCTGGCTGCTCAACCATAACCGCCTCCTGACCAACGCCGAAAGGGCTCGACGCCATCTAACAACGAACGTCGACTGCAAAATCTGCGGCGGGGGCCCGGAGACTGCGCTTCATATCGTGAGAGACTACCCCTTTGTGAGAGCCACTTGGGCGGGGATCCTTGAGAATGAACCTGATGCCGATTTCCTTGAACCCGAGCTTCACAGGTGGTCAATGCATTATTTATCTGGGCGGAGTAACGTCATTGATAGTTCCCTTTTTGCAGGTACGTGATGGCTGCTGTGGAAGAACCGGAATGATCACCTATTTCGAAGCGAGTTGAAAACCCATGAGCAGCTCCAGTTTTCCACCAAACAGCTAAGGCTTCAGATCACCTGATAAGGATCAAAGTTGTATGATTGGAGTAATCCCCTTTCTTGGCGGGATCTAGCCAGAACTCTCGTTTCTTGGTGAGAATAACCAGTGGTTTGATTGCCAAAATAATGCTTAAGTAAATCCTAAGTCTACTGGCAAGCAGCACCGCAACTGATTCTCTAGAACTCAGCAATAATGAGCTCATCATTACCATCCCCTGAAAAAACGGCCTTGTCTTCAAGGCCGAGCTTAATGAAACGATCATCAAAATTGGACGCCAACTTACAGAACATTATCATTGATGAAATGTGACCGTCCAAAACCCGATTCCATCCTCGAACCATAGCAGGTAGTTGGATCGATCCATAGGTCAACCCAGATAGCTGAACGGACTTGCCCATCACCCCCTTCAGCTCGTTGATCCATTTTAGTTCGTTCATCTGTTCATCAAACGACACCATTCGCCTACTCACAACCTTCACCCATGACTGGCGCTTTCTGTACCGCTTCCAGTTTCTTCCCGAGGCCCTTTCTGCGATCACCGTACCGTAGGGGGTCCTGTAGTTTGGTTTATTGGAATTTGCAGGTGAGGGAACCATCAACGCCGGCGGGTGCAAGAAAGAGTCAATCTCCATAATAAACACAATGGCAGCTGTAGAGTCAGCCTCCTGCTTCCACTTGTAGTTCTTTTCGTCGAGGCCTTCATAACAATAGCTGTATTCGATGGTGCAAGCCATGGCTTCTTTCCACTTTTGGGATTCCAGCTTTCCTTTTTGAAGCGAATACTCATCCCGCTTCTTTACGGTCAGAGCTGCTCGACCCTTTTTCCTTCTCTTCCGCAAATAGAGAAAATCCCGATCATCAAAAAACAATCCTATAGCTACTTCACGTTGCTTTAGAAATCCCCAAAGGTTTATTTGGCCCAATTTCATTTGACCTCTATTGCTAATAACCCACAGGGATATTGTTTTGATACCGACTGAGAGGACATACCCCTGCTTTTGTCGAGGATGGCTGCTAACCCACAAAAATTACGGCGTCCCTCCATGATGATGCTTTACGGAGAGGTGTGGTGACGCAGGTGCGGCCATGGCAGCTGATTTGAGCGGTGACTTTGGTTCCACGACGAGCGATGGCGATTCTGTTGTGCGCACAAGTGGATCGATCGGCGATGCAGTGGGCTCATCTCCGACACCTAGTCCCGCAATATTTGACCCAGCCACCGCACTCTTGCCAAACCCATCTTTTTCATGAATTCCTTCTTCTCCATTGCGCTCTCGGCCACCATCCTCCAACTCCCTTTTTCTTCTGAATTTCCATGAAACTTCAAATAAATTTGGGATAATTTGTCGGTCTTTCCCAAACTTTAATCCAGCATGCCGAGGAAACACCTCCCCTGCATCGGCGGCATCAACTGTGTTGGATTGCAGCCTTTCAAACGAACTCGAAAAGCTCTCAATCGTTGGCGACGGTGGACCCATGACAACAGCAACAGAAGCGGTAGGTATGGATACCTCTGCCGTGATGACCAGGGGTGGAACAATTCTTTGTTGCGGAACAATTTTTTCTTTGGGTGCGGCAGGTAGTGCAGCACTCACAAACTTACCCATACAAATGGCATCGGCAGGATCACCCATGTGAATGGTCGGGTTCATCGTCGGGGGTAAGCGTGACTTGGACTGGATTTCTGGCGGCAGGGAATGTTTAGCAGCACCGACAAGAGGCTGTCGTGGTTTTGCGACGAGGGCGACAGGATCAGTCGATGGAGGTGCTATGACTGCCGATGGCGTGCTCTCAGCAGCCGCAGGTACATGTGGGGCCATGGATTTAACTTGTACCGGCAGTGGTTTGGAGACACTCGATGGCGCGACAAGAGGGAAGGATGACATCGACGATGCAGGCAGGGCGATGTCAACGACAACAACGTCTTCCTCCTCATCCTCTACAAACTCGGATAGAGCTTCAGCTTGGGACGGTGGTGGTGCGGTTGCTACAGGTGGGACGGCAATCTCCGCCTCTCCCATGGAGGCCAGGGTCTCGACTTGTGGCCTCGGTGGTGTTGTTGCTGGCCTATGTTTGTCGTACGTCGCAATGAGCATGTTACAGGTAGCCATGACACGTTCTATCAGCCTGAGTGCCTGATTGATGAGTTCCTCCTCCCTTGATGGTCTCTTTGAGCTCATCGTGATCGGAATCCGGATCAACGGCTCTGATACCAAATGATAAGGATCAAAGTTGTATGATTGGAGTAATCCCCTTTCTTGGCGGGATCTAGCCAGAACTCTCGTTTCTTGGTGAGAATAACCAGTGGTTTGATTGCCAAAATAATGCTTAAGTAAATCCTAAGTCTACTGGCAAGCAGCACCGCAACTGATTCTCTAGAACTCAGCAATAATGAGCTCATCATCACCAAAGCCTTTGAGAAGGAGAGCAATGTGTTCGGAGCCGGGGGACTCCGAGAGAGGCGGGAAATTAACTGGAAACCACCGCCGATTGGTTGGGCTTGCGTCAACACTGATGGCTCAGTCACCCACTCTCCTGCGAGCACGAGTTGTGGCGGCATCGTGCGGGGAGACGATGGCCGGTTTATCAAAGCGTTCACAGCGAACCTAGGAGGGTGTTCGATCACTCGTGCCGAGATGGCTGGGATTGCTTATGGGTTGAGATTCGCTTGGGAAGAGGGGATCAGGAAGGTTATTCTACAGACAGACTCCTGTACTGCCCGGACTTTGATCGAGAAAGCGACTCCGCAGCACCCTCATTACTCCTACGTAGCAGAGATCCGCCAATGGCTAGCTCAGCATTGGCTTGTCAGGATAGAGCATGTTTTCAGAGAAGCGAATTTCGTGGCTGACCACCTCGCTTCCATTGGCCACTCTGTTCCTATAGGGGTTCACGGGATTCAAAACCCGAGTAGTACTCTTCTGTATTGGTTGTATTTTGATACTATGGGGATTCAAACACCCCGTTTCGTCAGTTCTTAATATAGGTTAGGGCGCCCTTTGCGCCTTGTTTTTCAAAAAAAAAAAAAAACATAAATGACCACTTCAATACACACTAGACATTTTAGTGGCAATCTTTGCGATACGGAGCAAAAGTTCAGTGACCATTTTGCCATTTAACTCTAGCCAAAAGCCCCAAAACCCCTGCTCTCATCGGTCATCCTCTAACAATTTGACTGTTTGACACCGTCCGCCGAACAGAGCGACGTTCGAGCTAACCGACGAGCTGACGAAGATCTTACCGGCGGCGGCGGCGGCGGCGGCGGCGGCTTCGTTATTCGCTTCTGTAACAGTTCGTGCGATTGTCTGAAGCAAGTTTCACTTCGAGTAGGCTTTGTTGTGAATTTCAAGGTTTTTTTGGAGCTCAAAAGGAAGCAGGAAGAGCAAAATCGTCGATTGGAGGTTTAGTTGAACGATACCGATGGAGACAGACCGGAAAGACGGCCGCACGCCGAACCAGCTGAGGCCGTTGAAGTGCTCTCGGAACATCCTCCACCGTGCCCACGGCTCCGCCAGTTGGTCTCAAGGTTAATTCCCGTAGCATTTTGAGTTCTTGGCTGCGGCTTCCCTTCTGTTTTTGCTGCAAGGTTACTGATTTTGGTTTGAAAACTTCTGTTGATTGTGTTCGGTGTCGCTAATTATTGTGGGGCTTAGGAGAGACGAAGGTTTTGGCTGCTGTTTATGGACCGAAGGCTGGAACGAAGAAGAACGAGGACCCTGAGAAAGCTTGTATTGAAGTCATTTGGAAACCCAAAACAGGCCAAATTGGTGAGCTTTTCTATCTGGGTGTTCAGTGTATTCCTCAAATTGAACCCCGAAAACGGTAGAGCACGTAATGTGGGTTTTGGTTTAGGTCACTTGGGTTTCAAGTGGTTGGGTGGCATTGGTTCTTAGCTGGTTTGAGTTTTGTTGCACTTTCGAGGCCTCTGATTTTGCCCTTTGTTCGATAAATGTATAGGCAAGGCGGAAAAGGAGTGTGAGATGATAATGAAGAAGACTATACAGAGCATTTGTCTTTTGACAATCAATCCAAACACCACAACATCAGTTATAGTTCAGGTTAGTGATCTATGTCGAAGCTTAATGTTTAGAATCTGTTCCAGACAGTGAAATATAGGCACCTCGTGCAACTGCTTACTCACTTCTCAGTATCTGTAACCACTAAATTTACCCCAGATGTTTTGCTGTTTCCATCTCTCTTTTAAATCAGAAAGTCTATGTGGAAGTATTTGTTGTTTTGGAACAAATTTTAAATGTGTTTGTGGCATTTGTTCGAATGGTCAATTATCATGCCATTAACAGACTTTCGAGTGATGAAAATTGTAGCAGTGATGCTTTACTCTCACTGGATTTGCGTTCTATCTATTATTAGATTGATGTTGCTATGATTGTAGAAGTTAAATAATACATGCTTGGAGCCCGGATTCTTGTTTAAAGCACCACTCATTAGTTTGTGCGTTCTGTTTTGCAGGTTGTCAATGATGATGGTGCTGTATCCTTACGTTTTCTTGTTTTGTAAGTGAAATCTGTAATGCAACTTGGCTGAGCTTCATTGCTTAATCTTGCTGTAGTACTCCTTTAATATGCTCTCCCTTTCTGCCTGCTTGAAAATGTTCCCTAACATGTTGCTAATGATAGTATTGTTTGCTTGCTCCATGGGAACAATTACATTTTCTGTTACTGTAGGAGCAATTCCCTCTCTCATTCCCGTGGTATTCTTGGTGTGTCTATCATGAATGCATGCTTCTGTACCCCTCTCTTGGTTCAAACTCCTGTTGGCTTGGGTCACAACATAATATGCGTTTTTCTTTAGGAGCAATCTCTTCCAGTCTTCCTGTGCTTTTTGTCTATTTTTCGGAATAAGTCTTGCTTCCGCAATTGCTTTCTTGACTTAAAATACTCGTGTAGCTTCTACCTTGTGCCATAAATGCAGCATGTGCTGCCCTTGTTGATGCTGGAATTCCCTTGAAGCACCTTGCCGGTATACATGATTAATTACTTACTACACATCCTCGAGCATGTTTCTTCTTTCTTTTCTTTCTGGCAGTGACTTATCTGATATTCCCTGTTTTGTCTCTCCAGTGGCAATTTGTTGTTGTGTGGCAGAAGAGGGGTCCGTAGTACTCGATCCAACAAAGTTGGAGGAGCAGGTTATTAAGATAATGTCCCATATCAATTTACACCCCAAGTCTTCAATCCTTCTGTAACTTGACCCTTAGTGTCATTGAATTTGTTTTTGGGCAGCAAATGAGAGGCTTTGCATATTTAGTCTTTCCAAACTCAGCTCTGTCAGCCCTCCCAGAAGGATCGTATCTTGTCAATGGTGAACCCTTGGAACACGGGATCATCACCTCTGTCACCCACGGCGTTATGTCAGGTAAAATTTCTTCATCACTCTGATAGTTTAGCATCTTGTTGCCTCTCTCTCTCTCTCTCTCTCTCTCTCTCTCTCTCTCTCTCTCTCTCTCTCTCTCTCTCTCTCTCTCTCTCTCTCTCTCTCTCTCTCTCCAACACATGATGTTGCTGACTACTGATGCTGAGTATGTTATTTGGAACCAAACCTAACACAAACGCCCGTATATTTGCTTGTTTCCTCGTTCGCAGTAGATGAATACTTGAAATGCGTGGATCGAGGCCGTGCAGCATGCGCGAAGCTGTCTGGTTTCCTGAGAAATAGCTTGCAAAAATCACAGTTTCCCAGTGACACGTCGTCCAAGGCTGCATAGGGGGCATTCTTGAATCCATCTAGTGTCCGACCACTGGGAACAGTGACCAACTAGTACTAAATCGAGCCTGGTGGAATGGCGCCTGATAACACTGGAGTTCCAAATGGCACATTAGTTCTTGTAATCTAGCAAATTGCAGTAACGTGTATACTATTATCCAAGTTGTAGTGTGAGCTATTTGCTATTGTCCTAGCAGATGCCTCGTTGGATTGAACGCGAGCAATTCCGTGACCATTGGATCGAAATGATGGCAAATTTTTTTTTTGCTAGATTGTCATCGCTTCGATCACATAATTGTGTATTGCCAGCGTCCGATCCAACAACGTTGAGCACGTTCTCACAAGACACCTATCAATATCATAGTCTACTTGTTCCAATGAAAGGTATATTTGATCGAGTTGATAAGCAACCTGGAAGAACAAGTGATTAACAAATGCAAAGAATCTGCGCTCTGCCTTCAACTTACGCACAAATAAATTACTTTATTTTATGACAAAAAAACTACTTTTTTTGAAGCCGACCTTGAAATGAAGAAAGCCACGCGTTCATTAGGGACGATGCTTATATATCATATTCATGTGTACGTTTCACCTCTCTTTCTCTGCCAACTAAATTTACGCAAAGCTAAAATTTGGGGAGTAGAGAGATTATACAGGGAGGAGACGGAACCTAAGAACGGGTACAAAGAAGGTTTGATTTCACTCTCCCGCCTCCATTCATCAACCCCCGTTCTTCTATTCGCCGTCGCCTTCGTCGTGTTCTTCTTCTACGACGAGGGTAGCTGTTAACTATGTCTACTTTGAATTTCCCTCCGGTGCTTCCTTCTCCCAGAGACGATGCCATTCTTCTCCACAAAGCTTTCAAAGGTAAAGGGTATTTTGATTCATATGCATATTATTTCCCTTTTCTGCTCTGTTGATTCCCCTTGATCTAGCTTGTCCGTTTTGTTGTGGGGTTTCCTTTTTTTCTTTTCTTTTTTTTTGGGTTTGGTTTGGTTCAATGTTCTGCCATTTTTGTTTGATTGATTTTGGACGATTAGCTTGAGCAGCATGTTTGTCCCAGGCTCTTGTCGTATACATTTGCAACAAAAATGGCGGGAGAAAGAATCCCTTTACCCATTAGATGCTCTTTGTTGAACGTCCCTGAAATCCGACCATGTCGATTGCTTCTCCTGAATCTTGATGTGCATAAATAATGATGTCTCTGATATGGGTTTTTGTATGAAAATTGGAAACTTTAATCAATCTCCACTTTCTGGGTTCCCTTCTGTTTTAACTTTTAACCCAGGAAAACCGATTTCGGCTGTGCTCATAGTGTGTGATTCTCGACTTTCTATTGTTTGTATGTTGTCGACATGATTGTTCATTAATAATTGAACTCTGGCTATGCGAATCACCTTGTTTTAAGCCATCAAAAGGTTTTTAAAAACTTTCCTTTTTTACTTTCATGTCTCCTCATTGAATCACAACATGAAGCAATCTGATAATTTCTATGGTTTGCTGTTTCGTATTCTGCTCGCAGGATTCGGGACTGACACCTCGGCCGTTATAGATATTCTGGCCCATCGAGATGCAGCACACCGTGCCTATATCCAACATGAGTACCGAACGATGTTCTCCGAGGACATCTTCAAGCGCTTGTCATCAGAGCTTAGTGGCAAGCTGGAGGTAAAGAGCAACTTCTTGTACAATTTCTGTCTCATCTTTTTGCACTGTATTCATGTTCATCATATAAATGAGCTCGTCTGGGGGTTTCATGCTTAATCTGATCTCAAGCTCATTTTTGCTTGTACTCCAGAATGCAGTTCTTATGTGGATGCAAGATGCCCCAGGATGTGATGCTGTGATTGTCAGGCAGGGTTTGATGTCTGAAACAACTAATTTGGATGCCGTAACTGAAGTGATCTGTTCCCGTACGCCTTCACAGATACAGTTGTTTAAACAGCACTACTATGCAAGGTTTCGTGTTTACCTCGAGCATGATATCGAAACTCATACTTCTGGAGATCATAAAAGGGTATCATTCTGTTTCCACTCTCTTAGGTAGTCATGTTGCCTCAAAAGTTCTTACCGATCTGTATAGAAGTATAAGGATTTATTGCTGTTATGGAGTACTTTCCATGGTCGGAATCATCATACGAGTAATTGTAGCTTAAGAACCCACATCATCAGCTGCTATCGTTACCTTTTATCGTTTCGATTGAATCTGTGACCTTCTCTCAACTTTGATCTTTGTTGAACCGAACTTGCTTATTGTCTCAGTTGTTGCTTGCTTATGCAAGCACTCCCCGGTACGAAGGCTGGGAAGTTGACAAAGAGGTGGCTGAGAATGATGCCAAGACACTATACAAAGCAGGGGAGAAGAGGTTGGGAACTGATGAGAAGACGTTCATCAATATTTTCAGCTCGCGCAGCTCTGCACATTTGGCTGCCGTTGATGCTGCTTACCAGAACTTGTATGGGCACGACTTGAAGAAGGTGAACGATGCTCTGCAGATGCTCTTCCAGTTCTGCTAGAAAATTTTGCCTCATTTCTGGAATCCATTCCTTAACATGTGTTTATCACGTCACAGGCTGTGAAAAAGGAAACATCAGGACATTTCAAGCAAGGACTTTTGACCATTCTGTTATGCTCAGAGAATCCTGCAAAGTACTTTGCAAAGGTATAAACAATGTCTGCATATTCTGCCTTCCCTGTAACCAACAGTACTGCAATTTCTTCCCCTCCTCACCTTCATCATTTCCTGGTAGGTGCTGCACAAGGCGATGAAGGGTCTGGGCACCAATGACACAGCACTGATACGGGTAATCGTGACGAGGACCGAGATCGATATGCAATACATCAAGGCCGAGTACCTGAAGAAATACAAGAAGAAACTTAATGATGCTGTTCATTCTGAAACATCAGGGAGTTACAGGAAGTTCTTGCTTGCCCTTCTGGGACCTGCCGATTGAGGTATTTGCTGGAACTAACAGTCAAGAGCCGGTGTTCGTGTGTTTGAACCAGAAACCTATGGTGCACTACTACTTGTCATGCATGTGAGCATGTCTGTGTTATGTAAATTAGGTGTTTAGGAGGTTTGGTATGCTGTGGATTGATGAACTTCTTCATGGGGTTGGTCTCTTCTGTGGTTTACTTCATGCTTCCAGCATTTTGTTGTATATATGAGTGATTGCCATCTTCTTATCAGCTTTAGAGTGTCGAGGTAGCTTCAGTTATGACGATTATCGATTCGCTTGATTTCCAACAAAATGTAAACGAAACCGTTTAAGGGGCCTTCACATGGTCACATCAAAGAGAAATATAGCGAACAAAATCATTCATTACTTTGTGTAAAATATTTGCGACTCTAAACTCGAAAAAAATATACGAACGCCAAAATTTGCACGATGAACGCTTTAAAAAGTTGAACTGGTGCCACAATTTATTGACAATATATTGATAGGTGATAATAACTCCTCAGAAAAGTGGCTACAAGTATGGGTGGGCATTGGGTGGGTCGGGTGGATTTTGACCATAAAATACATTCACCCACGCGTAAACGGATTGATAATTTTTAACCCACCACCCACCCACATTTAGTCTCGGGTTGGGTCGGGCGGATGGTGGATGATTTGGGTGGGTTTGTGGGTTCACCCACATCACAATGTATATAATATAAAGGAGTGAACTTGATATGATAATAGGCGAAGAGAGTTATGTGGGGAAACAAGAAGATGAAATAGGGCGAAAAATGTCGAATTAGTTCTTAAAATGGATAGAAATTCTATTATGAAAGAGTTTTCTACAGATTGAGATGATTATCAGGTGCAAGAAACTAAGAAAAATAATTCCACAAAGGAAAGAGCAGTGATCTAGGCACAAGAACTAGAGGAAAGAATAAAGGGAAGAAGAGGGGATCGTTATTTGGAAGGTTGGCTTTGAGGTTCAAATTCCAGGAGCAGTCCTAATTTATGTTTAACGTCTCCACTCTCCCCTCTCTAGCGCCGACGACTTTGATCTTTTTGCTGTTGGGTTGAGCGGGTCACCCGCGCACCCACCCACCACCCGGCGGATGGCTCCCAGCGCAACTCGTCACCCACCCATAGACCCACCCACTTAACGAAATTCGGGTCAAATGCGGGTGGGTCGGCCCAAACCCGCGGATGATCCGCCTGCATACCCAGCCCTAGCTAGAAGTGCTTTCGCGAGAGGTTGGACTTGGACATATTTGGGCCTTAGTCTTGTGTGGTGTAGTTTATGCCTCGTGGTGATGGACCAACTTTACTCAATCTATTGGGCTTAAAACGGTGGATATCTTATCAATGGGCTTGGATGAGCCCGTTTTGTGCTTGTTGGAATTGCTTGGGTAGCGAACTCGTAATAGAGCCCATTTTCAGTATATGATTCGTTGAGGGTGGACTCCGTTTGGACTTATTTCCTTCTGCTTTGCTCTTTTTCTTCTTGAGCCCCAAGCTTGGCAATGGCAATGGCAATGGCCAATGATATCTCATATATTCCATGGACATTTATGCAAATTTATACCAAACCTGCACTCCATCCAAAAATTCGTTAGTTTTGTATTAAATGTAATAGACTCAATTCGTTCAAAAAGTGAACTGATAAAATTACCTTTGATGTTCTTCTTTTTTTATAATATAATGTGTTATAAGGTACTACTGGAGGGGAAGGGGAGGTTCCGTCACTGGAAATCGAACACACAAAATTACAATGGAAAGTGTGCCGACTCACAAGCTAGACTGGCCCTGATTCACACCTTTGATCTTTCATTGACAAGGAAACAAGAGATACAAAACCGGAATTCTCTTATATCATCCTTGCTCTTGAGTCCATCTATAGCTCTTTTTACATGTTTTGTAAAACAAATCAAGCATGTCAAACAATACGAGAGCAAATTGAGAAGCATGTGTTGCCTTGAAAAGGTTGAGATACTAACTCTTTGTTAAAAGCATCTTTATAGAGAAGTGAGGTGTGTGGTGATCCATAGGTTGGAACACGCCCGGTCGTTAACTCTTCGCACTGTTGTCAACATTTCTAGAAAATCAAACACCGAGAATATGTTTTAGCCAAATTTGAGAGTGGAAATCTTTGAATCATTTAAAGAATTATAAGATTGGGACTCAAATTCTGCAAATGAAATGCTAAATGTAAAACTATATAAAAGCCAAACTACTTTGAATTTGTTTTTTTTTTTTAAATCGTTCATTTTATCGTTAGAAACGGTCTATTTTTTCCAAGCCATATCCAACACAAAACAAAGCTTGTAATCTTCTCTTTTCAAAATTCCATTCCACCACCACCGCCTCGTCAGTGGGAAGCATGCACCATTGATTAGTCGAGATAGAGAGCTAGGTTCCCCTTTTACTCTTCCTAGCTACCTACTTTGAGCTGTCTTCCCTTTTCTTAATATTGAAAGCAAAGAAAAGCTGTGATGAGAGCTTTCTCGTTGACTTGCCCTCATAAAAGTGTGGCAAATTTTTATAGGGTTAGTAGTAGTAAAAGGGAATCCAATCCCATCCCACACCAACAACAAAACAAAAGCTTATTGCATGTCCCCTTTCTTTTATTCTCTTTCTTTTTCGCCATATGATATGCTTTGCTCATCTAGTAACATGAATGTTTGTTAGGAAGTGATATACGATGTATAATTAAAGTAGTTATGGAGGGAGGTTTTGAGGAGATCGGGCGTTTAAGGATCCCACTTGACATAAAATTGGGCAACAAAAAACTTTGGGGTCGTTTGCTTCATGGATTTAAAAATGAGGGTTTTGTAATTTAAAAACCCAAGGATTTATCAAGGATTTGAGGCATCATGGATTTGTAACAATCCTTTGTTTGTTGGGATGTTTTTATCATGGATTTAAAGGTGTGGGATTTACTACTTGAAGTCAAAAATTACATTACTGCCCTTTTCTATATGTTTGACATGTTTATGATATGTACACAAAACAAGGACAAAACTTCAAAATTACCTTACTATCATTTTCTATATGTTTGACATGTTTATGATATGTACACAAAACAAGGACAATACATACTAATAAGCATAATGTTGCCACATGGACAATAATAATAAACGAGAAAATTCCGTTTTAACTTTTAACGTAACATAATCAATTACCAATTCTTTGACATCCTTTTCAAAAGTGACATATAACAACATATATTGGAATCGAGAGAACAAAAAATTACATGTTCCATGAAAAGGTCAAAGAAAACTAGAACACAAGAAATTATATAAAAAATCTAACTCATGTTTGCACATTAATTGAACGTTTATATTATTCATTTATTGTTAATTATAATGTATAATAGTTAAATTTGAGGGCAACCTTGGAATATTAAAAGTGCATGAGGGTATATGGGTAAAATCTCATCAAGGATTTATGCCATATTCCAAATCCCACATCAACATGTGGGATTTATAAGTCCGTGGGGTCCACGAATTTGGACCCTTAAAATCCGTGGGCCCCACGGATTTGGTCTCCAAAAAAGGTGCAAGCAAACAACGGATTGTACCTAAATCCTTAATAGTTGGTTTTTTGGTACCAAATCCATGTACCAAATCCTTGAAGCAAACGACCCCTTTAGGTACATACGGTTTAGTATGATTCTTCAAATTTAAGACCTCATATTCTCCTCGATATTAGCTCACCTTAGGACCCCAATCAGATCAAAGATCATTAGATACACAGGCTTTAGTATCATTAAAATTTTAAGGACCCCAGTCGACTCAAAGTTTGGTCGTGCCACTGAATTGAACCTCCTCTAAAAAACTTGTTAATGGGAGCATCATGTTTTTGACACGGTATCAGAGTTTTCTGTGATCGAAAGGTCTTCTGCTGGATTGGATATCAGTAACTTCCGTCGGTAAGTAAGCACATGGTGTCTGAAAATAAAGATGATGCCTGTGCATACTTCAAACCTGCATGAGTAGCTTTGGTGTGAGAGCGCGTGGTGATCAACGGTTTCTTGACACCGATATATATGATTTGATTCTTTGGCAATGGATCTCCACCGTTGATCATGCATGGCTTTGATTGAAAATGCATGCCCTTCTCTTCTCCACCATCATGATCTTCTTCTTTACTCATTACTAGTTGTTTGTCGCGCTCTAGCTTCTTATAGCTAATCCATCATAGCACCGAGTTGTCTAAGGAGCATGTGTGCGTGCGTGCACTCGATGCATGGCGAAAGCAGAGCAATAAGGAGCTAAGGGAAAGGGGATCGAGAGAAAGGGAAGGGAGAAAGATGGCAATAAGAAACAAAGTTGGGTATATTGGTTTTGGTTCCTTATTGATGTTGTTTTCTGCTGTGGGGGAGAGGGAATATTAAGCTTTTTGCCATTGTCAAAAAGATGGGGCATTTTCCTCCCCTTTTAACAAAAGGTTGGCTTTTGGTAGTGATAGAGAGAGAGAGGGATGATGACGATGATGGAGGTTTTGTAGTAAAGTTAAGTGGGAATAGGGGAATTCCATTCCACTCAATGCTTTCTCCAATTTTTCATAATTAGAAATCACAATTAGGAGGTTTAGGTGGGTATCTCGATATCTATACATAATGTTTTTTATTTAATTTTTTCTTCTACTCGTAATTAAGAATGGCAATGGTAAGATCAGCTGGGTATTTCGGTATTCATACTCGTTTTGTGATAGCTTGGGTACGGATCAAGTTATTTATAAGAATTGTGGGTTGGGTCAGATCGATTCATATGTGAATGTACTAAAAAAATAGTATTGATTTTTTCATTAAAATAATGAATAATCGAACTATAACATGATAAATGTTATTAAATTATTTAAAAATTGAGATTCTCAACTATTTACAATTTTATTTTAACTAAAATATGAGATTATAAAAGTAAAATATTAAATAATTTGAGTAAAATTACATACAAAGTACAAAAATGAGTGGAGAACGAAGCGGGTCATATCGAATAGAGTACTCATACTCATCCTATCCCACCTACAACTCGAATTGAGAAACAAATCAAATCGAAATTTTCTTCCTACTCTTAATATGTTGATACCAAAGCACAACGCTTTAGCTTTGAGGGTTTAACTTTAACCTAGTTATCTAAGTGTTACGAATAAAGACTTGGTGTAGCAGTAAAACTACTTCAAACCTGAAAATTACAGATTTGAATTCTTTAAGTAACTAGTCACAGGCCCGACCAGTTGGTTGGATTTAGTCGCCAATCACGTAAACAATATTATCAAATTGTATGTAAAATACACGGATTTTGATAGTATTAGAAAATCCAAATTATTCAAATACTTGAAACATTCAAATTGATGGTAGAATAAGAGAATCCAAATTAGTAAA